ACAACATTCAAACTACCGAAACTTGTCCTTGGTAATTCGTCGTCACGCTGCCTTCGAAGCACTCAGAGTTGAGTGATTGGGGGAATTGAACACTAAGTTTATTTCAATGTGTCTTACTGTTCTGACTGACAACGGTTAACTGTTTGATAGGAATGCATAATCTCCGAGTTTTGTCCCTTATACCATAACCAAATCATCATCTTTACTAATTTGTTGAACTATTAATTCAATAATTAATTAATTATGGCTGAACTCATAGCTGCCTCAGACCCATACCTATGGAATAGTGATGGAACCGTAGTTCAGATAGACTTCGCTTCCTGGACTGGAGGTGTTGGAGGTGGCGACTGTATGGTGGCGTCATATAAAACCGAGAGATTTCAAAACCAATGGATAATTGTCGCTGTCATTGAGGAGGCAAATTGCCAGGCCAAATTTGCCACAATATGCGAGCACACTAGTACGTAACATTTCATTTCTAATTTATTTTAAAAAAATTGCTCACTGAGAGTTCATCTTTATTTTAAGCATAATTAAACTCATTAACAAAAGTGCACTCAAATTACTTAAACTCAGATGAGGAAAATGTCATAACCAAACATGGAAGAGACTAGACAAAATCTATTTGAATCCATTTGGATTAACGGTAGAAAGTTGAACGGATCTTTAGTTTCCATTGTTCCACTCTCGCAGAGAATATCATTGTTTTGACAACGGACCAATTGATTAATAATAGTTAATTTCAGCATGCAGTGATCTGCGCTTGTTATGATTTCCTATTAAGCCGTATATGCGATAGTGCATATTTTACCATTATCGCTGGTAAATAGAACAATTTGAATAGTTTGGTCAGATAATGAAAATTTCTCGGTAGCAGGAATTGTATTTATTATACCTAAGGCCTTTATTGTTTCGAATATATCAAACCATTGGGTTTCTATTGGAACTTAATTTGGAAGTCAATTGGTTGTGAGTCACTTTAAAGAGTGTTTTTTGGCCTAGAAAAGTCAACATTTTATATTACCTTTCAGTTATGTTAAGGAAGCTTAACACTAAAGAGTGAATTAGTCAAAAAGCGAGAAATTTAGATACTGTTGGCAAATGCCAATATATTGCAAGTTAGAGATTACTTGAATGCTGAATACAATAAAACATCGTCGATAAGCTATCATTTCCTAAGTTATTCCTTCCCTCCTTGGTTCTCCAGTGGCCAGATAGGGTCTAGATGAATCAGTTAATTGGATCAAACGATTTACAAATCGAATTTGCATTAGAATTTCAACTCCAAATAAGCTGATATGCCTAATTTCCTTAAAATATTTAAACAAAAGCATTCTTTAATGAAGACATCTTCATTCGAAAGTTAGAAGCTCTGCGTTTATTAACCATTAGCGTTTTGATTAATTTTCGTTGAAATTAATCGATCTATTTCAGTTGAGTCCTGCAAAAATCCTTCAAACTTTGATTCAAACAAAATGGAATTCACGCCTTCAAAGCCTAATGTTGGTACTACCACGTCGATCACTTGCAAACCTGGCTATTATTTAAAAGGCCCACCTTCATCTAGCAGTGTCCAAATACAATGTATTGGTCACCGTGCGGATTCGAACGAAGCCGATCCATCTCAATACAGGACTGAGCTCTGGCCAAGTAGCATCCCTTCTATACAGTGCGAAAGTAAGTGTCTTGTCCTAGCATTACCCAACTCGAGTAAGGGTATATGAACAAGGTAAAGAAAGGTATGGGCGGTAATCCAAACTTCTGACCTTACGTCAATGTTTCAAGTATTATTTCATATCAGTCCACACATGGCTAATTAGGTTCTCCGAAAAAAAACGGTGAGAATGGGGATTATTATCTCTCTATTCGTGCACTATTAGTAGGATTAGTATTAGGGTTGTCCCCTAGGTAGGCTTGAGCACAGCCTTGGTATTAGCTTCAGTGTTATGTAGGCAGATAGAGGACTTAATTATACCGGGACAACCCTATATACTAAATACCAATTCCTTTTCTCTTCTCATTCAGAGGTATCCTGTGACTTTATTCCTGAGACTTTGTGCCACGTAAAGGAGGGTTCGATAGATCCACCAAACCAGAGAATTTTTAATTACGGTCAGACTGTGACTGTGGAATGTGAAAACGGTTTCGTCTATACACATAATGCAAGTAAAACAAAAGCCAAAATTCGATGTGCATCAGTTCAAGGGGGCTGGTTACAAGGAATATGGCATCCTAGCCCATGTGAAGCCTGCATCCGTAAGTAGCGATATGAAATTTCTCTAAAAGTCTTGACATCGGTTTGGTGCAACTGGAAGGGAATTCAATTATTAACTGCTAATTTTAAATCTCTACAAAGTAATATTAACTATTGCGAAACAACTAGTAATTTATCCCACTGAGCAAAGCTAGGCCACCATTATCTTACGAGTGTTTCAACTACTCTATTAGATTCTACAAATTTTACGCGATTAAATACAGCTCAAAATATAAATTCAAGGTTGGAATATTCACTTGAAACATGAGCTGCTTTTAGTAACTTCGCATGCTATTGACGGAATGGCTTAAATTGACATTTTTAAGTCATGTTCAAGACAAGTGAACATTGAAGAAAAAGGGTCTATAGAATGCTGGGAAGATGAAATTATGATCTGAAAACAGGTGGCCATTTTCCACCTACACGCCTTGATCAACCTCGAGCTATAGCAATGTATGACTGTTTAACTTAATCCAAACACTTGCATGATTGAAGTTATTTTCTAACGTGGTCCACCTTGTAAGCAGGTGGATGTCTCATCCTAGTTCAACAAGGTCACATGTCAATTTCTAACAGAAAGTTTTACTTATGATATTTAAAAACTGTAGGCTCACGCTAAATTACCTGCTTAAGTGGTACTGTGATCAATGGTTGGATATTTGATTGAAATGGAAATGTATTCATACCTTTTATTTTCTGAGAAAAGGGAGGCAAAGTGCTATCGACCATTTAAATTTAGCATTCATCCTCTTTAACTAAACGTTTGAATTATTTAAAATCCTGCGTTTTGTGAGTTCGAATTGAATCATTTCCTTTTGGAAATATCAGCATATTAATGAAGTACCCCATGCATTTAAAATAGAATAAATGAATAAATGTATTGGCTAGTAACAGAATTAGACGATTGGAAGAAGAGTGGGAATTCAAAGTGAAATTTGATGGAAGGCTGGCCTAATATGTAAATAAATATCAAAATAATCCCAACCTAAATACATTCTGTTGTTTGTTTTACAGTATTAAATGGAGAAACTCCAATTTAACAGAAATCTGTAAAAAATCGATATTTAATACATACTCGCATTATGCAATAGGAATGATGTGAGGTAAATACTTCGCAGTCTATTTATTTATTAAATTAGCAACTGGGTTTATTTGAATGACTTGTCTAGCTCATTTGTGATTCTTAAATAAGGACTGATTAACATAGAAATTAAAGATTAGGATGAAATTCAGTAGGTTTTGGAAGTATGTGGATCGACATTCAATTTTGTTGGAGATTTTAGCCGATGGTCTTCTTCGTTGTCATCGGCTTCTGTAAATTTTTCAATTTAGAATAAACTAACTTCATATAAGTTTGTCCACGCTTTTTTTCCTTCAATTACTAAATTATTCCCCCCCCCCCTCTTACATCCCTTATTTTGTGTTATAGCTATTCGCTGTAATGAAACTGAATTGTTTGCGATGGTTCCCAAGTACGGAAGTCTAGCAGGTGCTCGCAGCACACTAACCGAAGAAGAGTTTGGTTTGTCTCAACAAAATATGTTCAACCAATTTGGCAATGTTGTGACAGTTAAATGTAGAGATGCCCACTTCTACCCGGATCATGCTTTTGAAAAATTCGTCTTCTGTGGTTTAAAGAAAAACACAACTAATCAGGGGGAATGGAGAGGTTACAGCGGCACAACTCTTCCCCTTCCCCAGGAGTGTCAACGTAATTTTTCCATTTTTTGAGTTCACGTGATTTTAGTACCCCACTTCATGACTTTTCTTCTTTTCCAGCTGTTACGTGTCAATATGAAGGTGCTATCTTGAAATCGCACTACAACATTGAACCGTACTTCGATTTCACCTCGATCAATGGCACCTCAGTGAATACAACTAGGTTATTAGCAACCCGTTATCCCTATCAAACCAAAATCACATATACCTGCAAGGAGGGCTATGAAACGATCAGAAAAACACGCAATCAAACTATTGTCTGTGGTCCTATAGGAAGGTGGATTCCACAGTTGACTGGATGCTTAAGTAGGAAATCTACCAATATATTTTTTATTTATTTCAATTCGATAGTACGTTAACTTGCATAATTTTTTGTTCTTCCTCCCTAATGAACATTCAAAATGTAACTTACATAAACGATTGAATTGATGCATCATCTTACGTTGTCAGTTGGGAGGGATGGATCACAATCAGTTTAATTGTAACTTATCACCAATACAGTGATGATAAGTTTTTTTGACCACCAAGCGAAAGCAGACTGACCATCTTGAAATCGGCGCGTTTTGATGATGAGACGCTGCTCTGTAAACTCTTGATGATATAAAGCATACCATAATAGTGACGGTAGTAACAAAATAATTCTATCCTGCAATTTGCCTTTTTACATATGAGTTCATAAGTACACAACTGTCAATGTGGATTTCATACTTGCTTGTATGCAACTGACAATGGTTCCCATAGAGAAAGCTATTTCATTTCGAAGTGCTGTGAATTTCAAAATTATTTGATCTATCTGTGAATGTAGAAATATGTTAAAATTTTAAAACAAAATCGTGACGTGGAATCGTTTGAATGAGTCTGCGTCGTATTTGGGCACATGGGTTATATACTCCATCGTTTAGTAAAAGCATATCTACTTACCCGATCTCGAATTTTACTGTGTTTTAGTTCAATTAATAAGATTGTACTGAAAGCGTTGAAAAAGTCAATTATTTTTTTTGAAATGTTAGTTCAACTTTAAGCTGAAAGCTACTTTCCTCTTAATTTTAACGAGCTGTTCAAAATTACGTGAGTATTGATGTCTATTGGTGATATAGCATTCAGAAGACTCGTCTACTGCTTCAAAGTCTGCATTATAGATGCTTTCTAGTGAACATCCATTGAATGAAATAGTTAGAAATAATGAAGAAGGTGATATTTATTTGCTTCTTGTATGACTATCACTAGGATGACATTTTTCAAAAAAGTGGTTACTTTCAAGGAACAGATGAATAGTGTTTCCATGATTCCCACACAAAATCGACAAGTTTGTGCCAATCACTGTGTACATTCTAGAGTCATTAAGGTTTTCTTTGGACGAAGTTGAAATTATATGTAATAAAGCAGTGATAATAACTCCCTAAAATCTTGAAGAATTGACATTTTGGTAAAAAAAACTTTTTCAGTTTTTGTTTGCGAAAAATAAAAACATTTATCTGAAATACACACCGGAGATAATTTATACTAAAGTGCTTATTCTATTTGTCTTTTTTTAGAAAAGGATAATGAGTTGCCTGTAAGTACAACAGGCCGCTACTCTCCACCTCTGGTTGAAGCCCCGTCAGCAAGTCAACTGGGTTTCGTGGCACTTATTATAATTATCATCTTTCTAATATCCCTTGTTCTACTTGATGTGGCAACTCTGAGTAGAGATATGGGATGGCTATTCAATAACATTCGATTGCAGAAACGTCTGTGGAACGCCAAGAAGCGTCTTCGTGAATTCAAGAAACAAGTTAGATCTACTGAAGGCAACTCATAGAAAAAAGGGCCTTCGATGACATGTTCAAGAAGAGTAGCTAGACAGTTACAGTTCACCAGCGCTTTTCTAAGCAATCTTATACTGACTATTAACGAGTTTCTTTTCCTTCATTATCATTAAAGTTATTATTTTAGGAAATAAATTTCCTGAAAAAAAGCCCACATTTCTTACGAGCGTTAAAGAATAATTGCTCAATATGTTTAAGCGCCCAACAATTAACATCTTCATCTTAAATTTATTGGACATGATTATAAAAAAATGATTCAAGTTATTTAGTATATATATGTAGTGGTTACATGAAACGGCCATTAAGGGAAAACAGAACTGATATATGCAGGACTAGCATAGTGAGGGCCGTCAAGTGCTCTCCCCAGCTAACCTGGGCATATTACCTAATACAGATTCTGGAACTTCTTCAAACATTGTGCAAATAGGAAGCCGATAAAGATACAAACATGAAATCTAAATGATGGCAGAATTGTAGAGCAGGCTCAAACTGAAAACTGTAATACTGTAACGCTTTGGAGAACGATGAAATCTATCTTAACAATACACATTTACGAATTTAGTAAGCATCATTCTTAAGCGTTAAATTCGAAAAACGGGTGGATTTTTCACAGTAAAATTGGAATACTAATTTATTTCAAAAGGCGGGCTTTATGATACTTATCATTAGCTCTTTAGCTGACTTCGGACTTCATAGAGAGGAGGAACATCAAAGGAAGAAAAAGTGAAGAAGGGGAACAGAAAAGTTATTCAAAGATATAAAAGGGACAGGCAGACGGACAGACAGACACAAAGACAGAGAACAGGTAAGATGGGTACTGCAGAAAGGGTCGAATATAACATACAGTCGGGTCATGGTTATTTGAAGTTAGAATTCAACTGCCGAATAATAGACTTTTTTTGCCATATAAGAATACGTTGCCCAGGGTGCACCAAGTGAAGGTAAGTCTATCGCAGACCCCATTCATACTAAAATGGAGTACAGTTGATCCGAATGGTAACAAAAATTCAAGAATCTTACAAAATCAGTCTTAGATTTGTTATCTTAGCAATGTTATGAGTTTAATAAAGCTAATCAAGACGTAATAACTATTCCTAAAGCCACAACGCAAGGAGTTGAGTTGGAGCAGAACGCATTTAACGTACATAGCTTTGTGAATAGGTGAAAAATTAAGAGATTGGGCAAGGAATGGAACCTAATAAATCGAACAGTGTGGTCTTTGGATTCAAGGTGGTAGAATATTACACTGGTCGCCATTGATAGGACTACTGACCAATTGGGCAGTTATTTAGAGAAAGCGCAATTTACCACACTTGAGCGTTCAAATTGATAGCGATTAATATTTAAATCAACCCAGGCCAATCATTATTAGAAATCGATCTATCTCGGAAATGGAGTTTTTTCATATATTAGCCATTACCGGCTTCAGTTGTATGTAGTTTTAGGAAATGGAGTATCTCGTGCGTGTGTGCTGTATGCTGTTCTTCCAAGTTTAACTGTACTTTTTGACATGCGGCTTATACTACTTCAAAGCCTTCAGTAGAAAAGGCTTCGTCACGTTCATCAAGTTAATCGATAACAAGTGGTATTAAATTAGAATAATTTCATTGAAGCACAAAGCAGGCAATACACGTATAAATATAGTTGACTTCTAAAACAACAAGGAATGTGGTAATCGTAAAATAAGTCAAAAATATATTGTGGAATCCAGTAAATAAAGCTATTCAGGGTAAATAGCTTCAATCTTATTGAAGAATCTTATTAATCCCTATGTTTTCATAAATAAAAATACTTGAAATTCTCCATCTTTCCAATGCAGAAATTAGAAATTTCGAGGTAAATCAAACATCTTAAAACAATTTCGTTTAATATTTAGAAGTGTTGCTCAATCGACCGTCCTTTGCTCAGCTAGAACCCATTTCGTTTAAACAAGATAATAAATAATCTTATCAGGAGACAAACAAGAAAAATTTTTTTTGCCTGAGTAAACTAAGCAATTGCCATCTCATTATCTTAGCAAAGCCTACACAATTATTGCCTGCTATGACGTCCTCTAGCCTTTATTTCTTTTGTCTCAATTATTATTTTCCACTAATTGAAGTGAGAGATTGAATATAAAGAGTCAAATTTGGAAAGAATAATGCTTAAATGCTCGAATTCTTACATGCGCGCATTCCAGTTCATTGTTTTCCCTATAAACTATCTACGCACTTC